GGGCCCTCGCTCCGCGGGGGCTAATGACTCGCTTAGAGGGGTGAAGGCACACCCAGAAAAGTTTCCTTCCACTTTTTATACCCTTCCAGAACAAAGAGACTCAAGTCTCGGCACCAGGAGTAAAGAAGCACAGGAAAACCAATTCCAAGGCTAACTCACCTTCCCCCCCCCTATTTCCTGGACCCCTGAATCTCACCTTGCTTCTTTCATGTAAGCAATCTCCTGTCTATTTAGCATGAGACATTTCCTTTTATGTAAATAATTTCCCAATATAAGGCACCTACAAAGCTGCTTGCACATAAACACAATTATATATTTTATTTATTTTATTTATTTTTTAGATTTATATCCCGCCCTTCTCCTTGCGGACTCAGGGCGGCTAACAACCGGATAAAAATACAAAAATATCACACTACAGATTAAAAAGTTAATTAAAAGGGAAATATTAGTAATTGGTCTAATTAAAATTATAATTAAAACCCCCTCTAAAAATTTCCCCTAGGCCAGTCCTGCAAGCTGGAATAACCATGTCTTAAGGGCGCGGCGGAAGGAAGGGAGATCAGGGATCACCCTGATCTCTGGGGGTAGTTCATTCCAGAGGGTGGGAGCTCCCACAGAGAATGGGAGCTCCCACCCCAATTCTAAAATGATTAGAAAGTGTCACTACTAATATCAATATAAAGTGGTTACAAAATAATATTAATAATATCAAGCTTAAGCATAATAAAATCATAAGCATAATAAAATCCCTTCAGTTGGAAAAGAGGGCCGGGGAAACCAGATCCCAGTGACCCTTTCGGGGGTAGCGCTCCATGACAATCTTTCTGGTCACAGTTGTTAAGTTAGTCACACGGTTGGTAAGTGAATCCAGCTTCCCCATTGACTTTGTTTGTCAGAAGGTCACAAAAGGTGGTCACATGACCCCGGCATACTGCAACCATCATAAATTTGAACCAATTGCCAAGTGACTGAATTTTGATCTAATAATCAAGAGGGTGCTGCAATGGTCGTAAGTGTGAAAATCTGTCATAAGACACTTTGTAATATCTACATACATTTAAAACAAGAAATGTTAAAATGCTTATTTATTTGATTTCCACAGACCCCAAATTGAGAGCCACTGATCTAGCAGACTCAAAGGGATGGGATTGCCACAAGGGTGTCCCAAGGCAGGTCAACCACGTCAAGATGGCGGCCAGACCCGCCTTCTACCCATATGTAAATAAGGGGCGGGGCTTCCATCCCTGAGCCCTCTAGGGTTGTTCTTGCTTTGCAGCATCTCCCCCGCTTCTGGGGAGCAGGGCCTTGGAAAGAGGGGTCTGCGAGAATCCATGGGAGATGGGATTGACTAGCAATGGGAAGGATCCTCCCCTTTTTGTGGGGGGAGGAGGGAAGGAGGAAATGTGGGTGGAGGTATGGGGAAGGAGAGGCCAAAAGTGAATTTTAGAGGAAGCTGGGCAGAGTGTTTTGTCTTGGGAAGTTAGTCCTGCAAGGCTGAAGAACTTGACACCCAGCCTTTGCCAATCCATAGCACCTCTAAACAAACC